GTGTATGTAATGTGTTACAGAGTGGGAGGCTTCTGGGCCGCTTTATCACATTGTCAGTTCTACGATCATTTATCACCTTATAGCACCATCCACCACTACCACACTGTCTTCGCCATACGAACTGTAAGTCCAAGGCGGCGGATCCAGCCTTCAGGGACCCCTCCTCATCCATTCACCCGAACACCCGAAGAGACGGAGGGTTCGGCAATCGCCACCAATCCAGCGTGCGAATCTGGTCCATCAACTGTGACCTCAACTCCACATCTCAGCAGCTAGCCATAATCTCGCGCTCCCGACTACTTCGGGGGTCTCCCCAGGAATCGAACCCAGGACCTTAAACCGCTAATTGCAGTAGTGTCAACCCAGATGTCAACCCAGACCAGTGTGTATGTGTGTGTTACATGGTTGGGGGTGCGTGACCCCATACCTGTAAAACTACCCAGACAAGCCGAAGGCCCAAGGGCAATGCTTCAACGCCTAAAAGCCATGGAGAACAGGAAACACCGCACATCAGCCCAGACTAGCGACTAAAAAGGGTAACTGAGTTTCGGTGAGCCCACATACGTTCCGGCTGGCGGCTGGCAGAAGTTAAGGCCTGACTTCTGCTCCCAGTCGATCCAGTCGACCCGGGTTCAAATCCGCCTGCCAGCTCCTCGGGTGTTTGAGGAGTGATGAAATGGGAGGTGGCCCCCCATCATATGGACGGTGTAGGACGTGATAATATCAACTTGCGAGCTGACCAGGAACTAAGTTGATGCGCCGTCGATCCGCTAGATTTGGTTGGATGCTGGTGGTGAGTTGCCGAACCCAACGAATACATTCTGAAGTCGGATGGGGTGACGGATTAGGGTGCCCCTCTAGCAGGGGAGAGCAGGGACTGCCCCGGGAAAGGGGGCCGCTGGCGAAGTTAACCACCCTGTAACAACATACATACGTTCCAACATCCTCGCCAGACGTACTGGTTCCCATTCCATGGCCTCTAAACGCTCTGATAATCGAATCCCTCTTCAGCACAAATATCATTATAGGCTGGGCATTCCAATAACACGTGTTTTTCATCCTCGATTCGGCTATTAGTACCACAACAGCGGCAAAACCGCTGCCCCCTGGGAACATGGTACTTGCCCCTTCGTGCTCTGTTTGCCTCCAGAGCCCAGCAACATAAACGAAACTGCAGTAGCTTACGATGTGCTAAACGAGGAATGAAAACCTTAGCATGTGTTGGCCACATTACGGCTGCGGCTCCCGAAAAGGGCAGCCCCATCCAGTGCTTACACTTCGCCATTTGCACTCCCGGTTGCCTCCCATCTGATGGGTACTCCTCTGGCAAGGCAGTCAGACGCGTATGGTCCCAGCCGCTCACCAAACGCTCTCTTTGTGCCGTTATCATCGCTCCTTCGGGGAGAGGCCTGCTCAACAACCAGTGTATGTCGACTACCCCGGGAATAGCAGCTGGCCTGCTGCCAGCAAATGCCAGTGGTGGCCGTCACGGTCTTGCCTGTCTGCCGTACATTTATACATACAGACATTCATACCATAGGCGGCTGGCAGAGGATTAGGCCTGACTCCTGCTCTCGGAGTGTCCGGGTTCAAATCCGCTTGCCGACGTCTTAAAGTGTAAAGGGTGGTGAATTGGAAGGCGGCCCCCCATCTGGTGAATGGAGAAGGACGCGATTACATCACCATGCGAGCTAACCAGGAAATAAATTGACGCGCCGTTGAACTGCTAGATTTAGTTGGATGCTGGAGTAAGTTTCTGAACCTAATGAATACACTCTGAAATCGGATGGGGTGAGTGGATTAGGATGCCCCTCTCGCAGAGGAGAGCAGGGAACTGCCTCGGGAAAGGGGGCCGCTGGTGAAGCTATACCACCCTGTAACGACATACATACATACATACAACACAGTGCTCCTCAGGGCTCCCTCAACACATCCTGGATAAATAATGCTTCTACACGGCCTAGTCAAGTCCTTAACTGTCAACAAGTCGCCGACTGCAGTACATTGGCATGGCTAGCCGTACAACCGCTGTATCAAACATGAATCGCCATTAAAAAGAAAGCTAAGCCTGGAATGCCATGGAAAGAATACTCCGGGACAGAAAAGGAAATAGATAGTGATGTGTGGAATGTGCTGGCCGCTGAAAACGCCTCTCAAGATAATGGCAGAGCGCTTTTATAGCCATATTTATGTTACAGCATGTGTGCTGCTGTACTCTGTATGATTGCGGCCCCAAAATCCCAAAACCGTCAACTGACATTGGTCACACCATTCTGAGTGAAGGCGCACATATCGGGGCTGTTCATTTATTAATCGTGAACAAGGCAACTAATAACTAGCCAGATGCGGAATGGGAGCCCACTGAGTCCCTAAACCACTTCGCTCCGACCCAATTGCCCGATGTCCTTTTCCTGATGTGTGTGGCGGCAGGTCCTCCAGTGCCGGCTCCTGCTGTTGCGGCGGCTGCTGTAGGTGATGCTGGTAGTGGCGCTGCTGTGGTAGGAAGCTCTCATGACTGTACGATGTTCCACAAGCTTGTGCAGAGGTCATCTTCCTGTTGTCGCATGCAGCCTCTTGTCCGCCCTCCAGACGGGGCCCCAGCAGTTGAACTTGTGGCTCGCCCATTGACCTGTTTTGCAACTGCTGGTCATGGGCCGCTGCTGCTGGTGCCTCATCAAGCCCGCCCTATCCCTGGGGCAGCTCCACGATACCCAGGGCGACGACTGTCCTCCCATGCGGCTGCAGTTCGGGCCACTGCTGGCGGCCAGAGACTCCAGTGCCCGTGTCTCCATGACTTCACCCACAGCGGATCTGGTCTCGGTCCTAAAGTGCGACATCTTGGGGGCTGCAGGTCTGTATGCAACATAAAGAGCAAGATATGATTACACGCAGGGAAAGCCAGGCCAACAAACATCAGGAGTTGCATGCACATTACTTCGGACCTACCCTAAGACAGTCACAGGAATAATGAGCAAAGGAGTAAGGAGGGGTTCAAACTGGTTCGCAGCCATGCGGATTATACAGCATCCGACGGGACGCTTAGGGGACTATGCATTCGCCAACAGTAATGGTGATCCGTCCGCTCAAGTTTGATAAAAGGCATGTCACGCGTTGCACAACTTTGAGGTCCTCTGGATCCCTTTAAAAATTTGAGGACTAATCAATTTTGTTTCATCGTACTGCAAAACGTTGTGCAGCAGAGCATGTCAGCACGCCGTGAGCCCAAAAGAGCCCAAACGAACTGGGAGACTTGAATGAAACGGCGAGAAATGCTTCTGGGTCATAGCGGCAACTAAAATTGAATCACCAGAGAAATTTCATTCAAACTAAAATCCAGAAATGAGCGCGTTAACGAAGGCGTATATAGACTACTCCTGCTGCTGCGCTCTAGCTTCGATGGATGGCAGCCAGCAGCCAGGATAACTTACAAGACAAAGGAGATTGATAAAGTGGAATTGGAAAAGATTTAGTGTCAGCATACTCTGGTAGCCAGTTTGGCTTTTATGTGGTTGCGGACTGCTGGGCCGGGGTGGCCAGGGGAGGTTGGTTGTTTGTAGTATCCTGGGTATAGCACGGAATCTGCATCCACTTTGGTTCTTCCTAAAAATGTCGTGGTATAAGAAATGGTATCGAGCAGGTATCTCGGTTCTGATCCTAGTTCCATTTTCAGCTAAGACTTGGGGCAGGGGACCGGGGAGAGTACAAGTGCGGGGGGAAGTGGGGGCGGCAACCCCACGACCCCGCACGTACATTCACTGAAACCCCCACCTGGCCACCGACATGCGATCATGATATGGATGAGCGGTAGCCCTGGCAATTAAAAGCATGAATTTGGAACTCCCATCGTAATAGAGTCCGAAAGTACGTGATTTATGATGTACATGATGCATGGGGTGCATAGGCTATCGCCATGGAAAGACACAGAAGCCAAGCTGCTGTAACTCCATTTGGGCTATCTTTGTCCTATCTGTTGCACCATGCCATCCAGAGGTTCAGAAGCTTCTTGAAAGGAATGAAACCAACTTGTCGTCACGTCCTAGACCGCTGCTGGGTGACAAGAGTCACTCCCATGCAACATGCTTCTAAAAGCAATTCCGCAGGCAAGCACGAGCGTGGCGCTGCGATGTCGACATTGCTGATATACGTGACTTAATGCTCAATCATTTGACGGCATGCTGAAAGAAGAAACATGCTTTGTAATACCTGCTGTAGAGTCCAGGGCTTTCCTTGTCAACTGTAATGCCTAGGCATTATAGGAGGCCTCCTATTGCCTCGTACTCCTAAATTCGTTCGATCCTATGTAGTAAAAATCAACCTCCCCAGGCAACCCCGGCCCAGCAGTCCGCAACCACATAAAAGCCAAACTGGCTGCCAGATTATGCTGACACTAAATCTTTTCCAATTCCACGTTATCAATCTCCTTTGTCTTGTAAGTTATCCTGTCGCCTGACAGCCATCAGTCCATCGAAGCTAGGGCGCAGCAGCAGGGATAGAGCGGGTCGTCTATATACGCCTTTGCTAACGCGCTCATTTCTGGACTTCGTTTGACATTAACATTCCTCTGGTGAGTTCATTTTTATTGCCTCAATGACTCAGAAGCATTTTTCGCCGTTTCATTCGAGTCTCCCAGTTCGTTTGGGCCCACGGCCGCAGCGAGTGTGACAAGTCCTGCTGCACAACGTTTGCAGTGCGATGCAACAAAAGAGAGTGGTTCTCGAATTAGCAAAAATGGTCCCCAGGACCTCAAACTTGCGTGACAGCCTTTTATTGAACTCGAGGCATATGGATAGACCACCATTATTGCTGGCGGGTGCATATCACCCTAAGCGTCCCGTCGGATGCTGTATAATCCGCATGGCTGTGAACCAGTTTGAACCCCTCCTTACTCCTTTGCTCATTATTCCTGTGACTGTCTTAGGGTAGGTCCGAAGTAATGTGCATGCAACTCCTGATGTTCATTGGCCTGGCTTTCCCTGCGTGTAATCATATCTTGCTTCTTTATGTTGCATACAGACCTGCAGCCCCCAAGATGTCGCACTTCAGGACCGAGACCAGATCCGCTGCGGATGGAGACACGGGCACGGGAGCGTCTGGCCGCCAGCAGCGGCCCGAACAGGGAACTGCAGCCGCATGGGAGAACGGTCGTCGCCCTAATGATCGTGGAGCTGCCCCAGGGATACGTTAGCGGTGGGCTTGAGGCACCAGCAGCAGCGGCCCATGACCAGCAGTTGCAAAACAGGTCAATGGGCGCGCCACAACTTCAACTGCTGGGGCCCCGTCTGGAGGGCGGACAAGAGGCTGCATGCGACAACAGGAAGATGATTTCTGCACAAGATTGTGGAACATCGTACAGTCATGAGAGCTTCCTACCACAGCAGCGCCACTACCAGCACCACCTACAGCAGCAGCCACCGCAGCGGCTGCCGCCACCGCAGCAGCAGCCACAGCAGCAACAGCCACAGCAGTGGCAGCAGCAGCCACCACAGCAGCAGCCACCGCAGCCACCGCAGCAGCAGCAGCAGCAGCTGCCGCCGCCACTGAAGCCGCAGAAAGACCTACTGTCACACTATGAGCTGCTGCCACCACCGACGCAGCATCCGTATCCGCAGCAACGGCCAATGCTGCATGAGCTTCCGCCACTGCAGCATCTACAGCATCATCATCTGCAGCAGCAGCATCTGCAGCAGCAGGAGCTACTGCCGTCACTTCATGAACATCTGCAGCAGCTGCTGCAGCCGCAACAGCAGCTGCTGCAACCGCAACAGCAGCAGCTGCAGCCGCAACAGCAGCAGCTGCAGCCGCAACAGCAGCAGCTGCAGCCGCAACAGCAGCAGCTGCAGCCGCAACAGCAGCAGCTGCAGCCTCAACAGTAGCAGCTGCAGCCGCAGCCGCAGCAGCTGCAGTCGCAGCCGCAGCAGCTGCAGTCGCAGCCGCAGCAGCTGCAGTCGCAGCCGCAGCAGCTGCAGTCGCAGCCGCAGCCGCAGCCCCAGCAGCCGCCGCAGCAGCAGCTGCAGCCACAGCAGCAGCAGCAGCTGCAGGCGCAGCAACAGGCCAAGCGGCGAAGGCTTAGTGAGCTGCTGCTAGAAGAGCTACAGCGGAGATCCTTACCGGGCCCCACCTATGCCTCCGCCATTGGTGACGCCAATCACTGTACTGCAGCGCTCCCAGGGGAGGATGTGCAATGTGAAGCAGCTCCTGCCCCAGGCGTCAGGCAGAACTACCGGCAGTACAATGCCAATGCTACTAAAACGGTTAAAGCCATTTTAGGTCCTCAAAACATGGCAATGGATAAGGTTGCGACACCATCACCCGCGCCAGGGATGCGAGGACTGCAGGCGCCGGGGTTGCTGCTACTAGCGCAGGAGGCAGAGGCCGTACAGGTGATAGAGGTTGCGGACACGGAGCAGGCGGCGAGGATAGAGAAGGCGGCAGTAGCGGCGCAGCCGGCGGAGGGGGCGAAGGCGGCTGCAGGAGCACCCTACCGAGCTCTGAGCCGCAGTAATAGTGCCACTGTTGCATCGTTGGATGACAGCTCGCAGCGGCATCGCACGCCCAGCGTTAGCAACCGCTTGGCGGCGGAGGAGGAGATGGACTGCCACGGTGGCCGTGATGCTGTTGCCGACAGAGGCGAAGCGGCGGCTGATGGCGAGCTGCAACTGTCCCAACTTCACAGTGTGACTAAGGATGCGGCCTCCGGAAGGCAAGAGTGCGAAGTGTAAAGGCGCGAAGTGTAAAGGCGCGAAGTGTAAAGGCGCGAAGTGTAAAGGCGGGAGCGCGTCCAACCATCATCCACCGTTAATATGTATAATTTATGTTTCAATAAGAAAAAACTCTACCATCTAGGGGATCTTGAACGTCGGCTAAAACTCGGGGCTTGTGATGGGTTATAAGGTCTGGGAGTCACAGCTGTCAACCATCCGTAGCTTGCAAAAGCAAACATCCATTTGTAATCACTATCAGTTCATCTTCCGAAACCGTCCCCGGCCAGACATGCAGTCAGGGGTCGTCAGGCACATCCGCCTTTGAGAGCACATTTCTTCTTGCGAACTGTTACTGCATTTGTACCGGCATAAACACAACATGGCACTTTACCCATCGCACATGGCAAGTGGTCCCCTTCATGCGGGAAGGGCTTTCCTTGCTGTCAGCATTATTTTATACACACATAATTATTTGCTCATTAGTCCTTGAATCAACCATGTATGTCGTACATGCATCACACAATGCTGTACATGCGCCGTTTTGTTCTTGGGCCATGCATGATGCAGGTGGCTTGCCAACGTCTATGTGGAGCAGTTAGGTGGCATAGTTGACCTGGGCAGCTTTGACAACGCGGTGCACGCTGCGGAAGCGTACGACATTATGATGCTGCGGTTCCAGGGGATCGAGGTACGAGAAGCTGATGCCGCTCTGCACCCGAGAAACCATCGGTTGATGTTTGCGTATACCTCGCTTTCAGAGCGTGTGCCGCCAACTAGCTAGGCCATAACTTTGGCATGTGTCGCATTATTCGCTATCTATAGCACAAAAGAATATGCAATCTTAAATCTGTATGATGGACGACTGATGAAGTGGCTTTGCTTCGCCGCATTTAATGCTTCAACTATAGCTGGCTAGCAGGCAATCTTGCCCGGCAGCCAGTTCGTTGTTCCATTAGTAGTTATGTTACCCGGGGTTTTATGGTTTAAAACCCTAAAAATCTTGCGTACCTTCCGACGCCTTCATGTATATTTTCGCCAACGATACATTCCCCACCCTTTCTGACATGCACGCACGCTGCCGGTCGATACCCTCTTCTTTCCGATTCGCCTGCTGCCGCCGTTTTATTCTTCCGACACCATCCCACGGCTGCGGCAGGGCGTCCAAACTAACTTTCCACTCAAGCGCTACGAGAGGCTGCTCCCCTACCTTGGAAAGGTGTGGCTGCAAGACCTCGCCGCCGCATTGAAGAGCAGGTGCCGGCAGGTGCGTTTGATACAGCTTTATATACCGTAGGTTAATATTTTTATCCCAACGAAAAACTGAAACCGGAGGAAATGCAAATGGAAAATTTAATGACTCAAGGTAAATCGTTAAACGATCATGAATTTGCTGATAGTTAATTTAAAAAAATGAAATCGTTGTTTTCCGGTTTAAGGTTTACTGCTTGTTAATGTATTCTATACAGGCCGCCTGTGTATTGACATGTATGTGTGCAGCCATAAAAATGATTCATAGCCTTGTGTGCAGCGGTGTGAGGAATACTGCTCCTTTATATGCGGCATGAGGAGGGTGGACTGAGCAAGAAGCGCCCGCTAGGAGAATGGAAGCCTAGTGGTTGTTTGTCTGTCGACATTTCGGTCGTCTACATCTCGCACCCCGGTATAATAGAAGGGATGGTCCCTATCTAATGTACATATACCAGGACACGACCTGCAGATGATCAAAACGTTTAAGACGCTTGGTGTAGCTACACCAAGCGTCTTGAATGTGAAAGAGGCTCATCAGTCGTACCATGATGATAATGATGATGATGATGTAGAGCATTGCAGCATGCAAGCAAACAGTTTCCACTATCCGTGCCATAAATTGCTATACATACATACGTGTAGTGTACAACTTCGAGCTGCTGCTGTTCATAATATGGCTTGCTGTGTCTATCTATTTCGGGTCGTGTGCATACAGGATGTACAACCTGGCAGAACCCCAGTCTATGTGGGCGTCACTCATTGCTCCGGAGCTTGGCAGGCACGCCTGCAACTTTCCGAGCGCTGCCGCCTTGACTTGGGAGTTTTTTTGAGTAAGCGTGTGGCAGTTGCTGCGTACGATAAGGCGCTGGTGCGGGTACTTGGTCCTACCGCCGCTACGAACTTCCCCATCGTTGAGTATCTGCAAGAGCTTGCAGAATACCGTACTTACCAGCAGGTATGCGTGTACGTCTTGTCGTACTCGTCGCTCTTGCTCCAACTGTATCGTTTCGTCCGGGACAACATTGTACGAACGGACAGGTGCAAGTAAAACTATCAGTTTTAGAGTGACGTAGTATTATAATTCGTAAACAGATGAGGTGGCGTGTTAACAACATGCTGATATAAATTAACCGATATCAAACAATTATAATTTTTTTTAAATAACTTTCAAATTAGGTAAATTATGAAAAAGTCAGTTATTTTTTTGTGTTTTATTATTTTGTATGCAAGTCCTGCCTTTGCCGATCAATGGTTTATTTACGACACCGCTGTTGATTGTGTAAAGCACCGCCATACCGCAATCACGTTGTGCAACGGTGAAATAGTTAGTTTTGGTGCTGTGTGAGCTCATGTGGAAATACTCACTGCTGGACATTTCGTCATTGTCGTCAGCACATTATTGACTGGCAATGGATGGCAAGGCGCGTCGCACCTCTGCTTCATCGTAGTGTTGTGATGATATACATACATACATACATACATGCACCACTTGAAGACCTCCGTCTGGTTGTTTCCACATGTATGATGTGTGAGACAGGGGGATCATGTCTTCTCCCTGCGGCCGCTACCCGGCAAACCCTAAGCCTTTCCCAGGTTTCCGGGCACCTTCGTCTAGTCACCCTAGTCACCCGAGTCGGCTTCTCTCTGGATCGCATAGATTCTGCACGCACCACCGGCATCCAACGGAATGCCGGGTAGACCGCGGAAGGAAACTATCGGCTAAGAGCACCTTACCCTCCACCGTCGTAAGGGGTTTTGCCCTTAACAGGTCTCGATCCAGGGATTTCCCGGGTCATTGGAGCGTGCCCTACCTGACCTATGCATGTGTGTATGTGTGTATGTATGTATGTACGTATACCCATAGCACACAGGACGCCGCCGTGCATCCCACCGCCAAACTGCCCATGCAGGCCCTTTTACGTCAGGACCAGCGGCTGGCCTGCATCTTAGAGTACGGGCGGGAATACAGGTTGTGGTTCAGGTTCGGGTTCAGTGCGTTCCCTCACCTCCAGCCGGAGCAGGCGGCCGCGGCCAGGGAAGATTAAGGGCTGTACCAGTGTCTATGCTAAAGCGTTGGCCATCATCGCAGCCACATATAGCCGCACGCCGGTGCGTCACAGTGAAGGTGTTGAAATGACGGAGACCTGAACAAGACAGGAATGGCCACCACATGCTCATCATCATCAGAAATGTGTGCATATGTACACTGCATGTTTGCGCATAGTCGTCTCTTAACCTGCCTTCGTTGCAGCATGAACGTCTGCAACGTCTGTATGTCCAGCTGTATGTCCAGCTGTATGTCCAGCTGTATGTCGTTGCAGCCACACCAACCAACCTAGCCGAAGTGGCGGCCGCGGGATGTAGAGGACGATATTAAAGGAGGCAGCAGCATGGCATGAGGAATAGTAGTACGGACGTGCGTGCGTATTTGTGGCCCTAGCTGTATGAAGGGCTCGGCTCCCTTCTTTGCCTTATGTTACATTGGTGCGAATTGCTAGGGTGTGAGAACTCCCCGGATCGTGTCCGATTTTGACCATACGCACTTGAGGCATGACGCAGCATATTTCTTGCGCAAGGGTAGATGCCCGGGTGGCCGATACAACTACCAGCTGAGGTAAACATTATGGACCTCCATTTTGGACGGGGACCGACCGGCCGTAATCCCACTGGATATCAAATAACCATGATCCCTATGCCCGGGGGCGCCCGAGGGCGTTCGCTCGGAGGGGGAGGAATGTAAGAAGGATTCGGCTCCCGTGGCATTTCCCTTTGCCTGGTGTTACACCAGCGCTACCTGTTGTTGCTGCTGCTGGCTATCTGGCTACCTGGCTATCTTGGCCCTCGCCGATTTGGCACCCATACACACCCATACGCCCGCAGCCGCTCGCTGCTCGTGCTTCAAAACTCACCCGCAAAGCCGTTCTCGCTCTCTCGCAAAGCCGTTCTCGACATCTTTACTGGTTCATCATGAGAATTAACTTCATTATAGTAATAAGCTTGTCGGCCGCCATAAATCTCGATAAATAAAGTCCTGTTAACAAGCACAGCCGGCAGGACCAATGATCAGAATGCACATTTTAAATCTTCTGGATACTTTGCTTTGCATGCAGGAAACAAAGTCAGCAAGCACGCCAGGCAGGCAGGCAGGCATGGAGTTAGAGGATGAACAAACGAAAACAAGGACAGCGTTTCGCTTAAGCGCCCCGCAAGGCAGTGAGGTTCGACAAATCTAAAGCCAGAAACAGAATATCTACCAGCATCTACCTTGAAATAAGTCAGGATAGAGTGCCTCGATCTCAAAACAAGGAACGCAAGACCGAGCTCGGTGGGCCGGACTGCAGTAACGCCAAGCAGCAGTGAAGCCTTCGTCGCCGACCTGCTGGTTTTCATGAGTTTTTTGGCTGCCACATTGTGAAAGTCATTGGCAGGTCGGCGTCCAGCTGCCCGCTGGGGGTCGGGTTGGCGATAAGCAAGCAGGCAGTGCCAGCCTGCGATCATCCCCATTTCATTGTTGATTCATAATCATCGCAACTACGTTTCAAGTATGCAACTCTTGCGGATTGCAAAGCCACATTGCGGTCAGCCGGCACCTACCAGCCGCACCTCGTCTCCCTCGTTGATTGGTTTGCCATGGCAACCGCTAGCTGAAGCCATGTTTTAGCAATACAAGCAGGAAAAAGATTTTTGACATAAGCACCCTTTGACCATGATAGCGTCGCGGGCATGAGAGGTTGAAAGGGCCCAGCAAAGCTGATAAGGCCCAATATTGCCCAATCAAGCCAGCGGCAGCAGGAAGCACCTGAAGCTACACAGAATGGAAACGAGCACATGTTCACAAAAGCATCAGCAGCAGCAAATCAGTGAATGGTGATGAGTTCCGTCTCGTCTCCAAAATGTCCTTTTGCTTATGGTTGCCTTGCTCACCAAGCAGGATGACAGCAGTAATAGGATGACAGCATTTTAATGAAATTAGGAGCACACTATGTATAAAGCATACTCGCGCACATGTCAAGTGGTAATCCCTTATACTCATCAATCTGTACGACATACATGGGCTCCGTACGCCAGCAACCACGGCGTTCCCTGCAGCCTCAACAGTCTGGGGGAGTCCGTTCGTCCAAAGCGAGCTGCCTTTTCATAGCGCAGGAAGTATGCAGCTTGCAGTATGAGATCTGTCGTTTCGGGATGATGATTTTGCACCGGGTAAATGCACCGTCGCCCCTGGCTTGTGATATGTTGGCTTAAGCATGCGTTGGTCGGCGGGCTGCTCATACAACAGCTGGAAAGCTAATATATGACACAGAGCAGCTGGCAACCAATACATTTGAGCTATCCAACGACTTGCTAACGGCCATGTGTGGTAGTTACCCGTCGTGGGCCCCGCCGGCAGTGTATCCACCAGCAGACCGTATCCAGCAGATCCGATCTAGCTGCTGCTGCTGCTGCTGCCCAGAGCGAGGAGGGAGCGGCGCAGTCATCAGCATGCGTGTGTGGGGGGGGGGCCTGTGCGCATGTGCGTATGTGCAAGCTGTGCAAGCTGTGCATGCAGGCAACGTATCTTTTATATATTGCATGCCTCATACTAATATTTAAAGGTAGATATATACGCCTGTAAATCTGTTACGTACCTTTGGCGGGACGATGCCGCAAGTACTTGAGCAACTTCTTCATTGCTTGATGTGGACATACATGCGTCGATCCTACTTTGCTTGGCTTGCTGTAGGTATCCGTAAATTCAGTGTTTTGACGACATATCTGTAATCAGCCTTGCAGCACTGTTGATTTTTACTTCTGCCAGAAACGTTGAGTTCGCTGTTGCCTGTTTGTTCGCTGAAAATCTGTCTGCTGCCTGTTCGACTTCCCAAGCCGCGTGTGCAACTGCCGATATGCATCCCAATATTCCGGCTGTGACTTCGCGACATGTTGTATTACATACGTAGGGCCATGTAGATACGTAGGTTGCTGTTACAATGCCAGCCTCTATCTGGCGCGGCCACATAACACGCCCGCTGGCCTGCTGATGATGACGGCAAACAGGCTGTACGAGTCGAAAGTTTTGAATTAATTGATTGCGCCGTTACCTATCAACAACAGTAACAGTAACAGTAACAGTAACAGTAACAGTAACAGTAACAGTAACAGTAACAGTAACAGTAACAGTAACAGTAACTGGGATGGAGCAAAGGCCAAACCCCAAAGCGGCTTACATCACCGTCATCAAGCCGATCGATCGAAACCAGCAGCCCATATGGCAGCTTGATGGCGCCTACCCACCTATGGTTTACACCGCCCAAGTAGTAGCTGCGCACTGATGAAAAGGACTGCTGCTGGCAGCAGATCACCTTAGCGCGTATTGATCAACGCCATGTGTGTCGTACGTGTCTGGTGCCCCTAATAATAACCACCAGAACATTTTCCTCACTACTTCAGAGATACCAGCTGCTGGCTAACACATACAGCTGCAAACACAATTGGGAGATAGACACAGGCACCTATCGGCAAGGTACATCACGATGACCTATGATGTGTGGGACAGGGGGGGGCCATACCTTCACCCGTTGCCGCGACCCGGCGAAACCCTGCCTTCCCCGGAATTTCGGGGCAACCTCATCCAGTCGCCCTAGCCGACTTCTCAGTGAATCGCTCAGGTTCCGCACCCACCACCAGCATCCAGGGGGCCTATGTATGTATGTTGTTGTTGTTGTTACATGGTCGTGGGTGCGTTCCCCGTACCTGCAAACCACCCTAGTACGAGCCGAGGGCTCAAGGGCTGCCAAATCGCCTATAAGCACCATCCTACCTCGCACTTCCAACGAAACAAGTGATGAAGGATACTAACGACCAAAGGGAACGATAGAGTTGCGGTGGGACCATATGCGTTCCAGCATCCTTGCCAGGCGTTCAGGTTCCCACTTCATAGCGTCCTTCATATGCTCGAAGCGTGGAAAGCCCATATCAGATCTGATTATGTCGTACGCCGGACAGTCCAGCAAAATGTGTTTCTCATCCTCGATATGGCTATCAGTGCCGCAGCAAGGGCATACTCGCTCCTCCCTAGGTAAATAACGCCGTCCCTTACGCGCTCTGTTAGCCGCCAGTGCCCAACAGCAAAGCCTAAACTGCATAAGCTTGCGATTCGCTGGACGCGGGATAAACATTGTGATATGCGGGAGCACCTCCTTCCTGCCCGCTTGCTCGGCCGCCAGACCCATCCAATGCTTATACTTCGCCATGTGGATTCCTGGTTGCTTGCCGTCTGACGGATACACGTCAGGCTGGACATCTAAACGGGTATGCTTCCAACCACTCACTAATCGGTCCTTGAACTCCAAAATCACACCTTCTGGCATTGGCCTGTTCATCAGCCACTCCACTCGTTCGTCTACCTCGTGTAGCCCTTGCGGGGCCTCTTTCCATACGTCGTGCCCCCAAAAAAACATAGAAAACGGAGTAGTGTCCCCCATCCGGCCCCTTCGGGGTTGGAGAGGGACTCTGCGACCTCCTGTCGCAAAACTTGGTGTGCCACAGACCCACGCTGTAAACGGACATGGTTCCAAAACCTCACAACCTGCTTGAGAACGTGGTAGTGTAGGGGTAGCTGCGAACAAACAGGAGGCGGTGTGTTGGTCTGGCAGCTCCTACCATTTGCCGCATGAAAGATATCTGAAGCTGCACTGCTCTGTCCTTTAGGCATGCCTCGAAGGGCCCCTCTGCAAGGTTATTCGCATCACTCCGCTTCCTGAGCCTGTCCAAGACCTCAGCTAGCATAAACGGCCCCCACGCTTGAAAACCATACAACAGTATTGCTCGTACCTGCGTATCGAAACACCTCATCCTCACATCTGGGGCGAACAACTTTAGCTTATCTAATTTTGCATTCAACGCGAACATAGCTGCTTTAGCTGTGTCATAGAACTGCTGACGGCAGGCCCAGAACTGCCGTTCTGGCCCATACACTAACCCCAGATATCGTGCACTATCCTTAGCCGGTATGGCCTCTCCAGCCAGCCTGAGCTCATCACACGATGCTTGAACAGCACTTCTAGTATCGCTGTCGCTTGCAAAAACGAGGCGTTCACATTTCGACACATTTGGGCGCATCCCAAAATCGTCACAGAACATGTCCACAATGTTGAGCAGCTCCCCCATGCGTCCCGGTGTTGTTGCCAGAAGGCTAACGTCATCGGCATAGAGGAGGATGGACACTCGCTCATTTCCAACCTCCGGTGCATCCTCTGGCCGTGCCCCGGTGTTAATACCATCGTGCATATCGATGACGTCCGCGAGAGTTTCATTGTAGAGCCCAAACAGCTCAGTTGATAATGGACAGCCTTGTTTCACACCCTGTTTTGACTCAATTCACCTCCAGCCTTGCCATTCGTCTTGATGACCATTGTAACCTTATCATACGCCCGCATCAGCGACCGCAGCATGGACCCTTCAAGCCCTCTCTCTTGCAAACGAAGCCACATTATCTCCCGCGGCACCTTGTCAAACGCCTTCTCAAAGTCAATTTGCGCAATGATTAACGGCCGCTGTCCCGGTTGGCTGTGCCTAGCAGTAAGGTACTGTGTAGCAGCCGGTACACAGTACGGTGCTATAAATACGCGCAGAGCGCGACCGCCAGCAACTCGAGAGACCTTTTCAGCGGTCAGCTGCTACATTTGGTATCGAGACCTCGTGAAAATTCACGATCCTGAAGTCGTCGGTTCAACCCCCACCGATCACGTTCGGGTGGTATTCGGGTGTGGCGACTCAGTGAGCGAATATCGCACAAAGATATAAAAAATAAGTAGCTGAACCGACTGGACTGTCTCTGTGCCTGAAAAACCTGAAGACGGCTAGGCGCATGTGAGGGCGGCACATGACGTGACGTGGGCTTGGACCACCCACTGCCCGAGGGTAGGCGACGGTAGGCACAGGCTGGCGGTATACGAGGCTCTAAGGGCCCGGGACGGTTCCCTTCAAAGGGGGGGGAATGTAGCAGCCGGTATACAGTACGGTGCTATAAATACGCGCAGAGCGCGACCGCCAGCAACTCGAGAGACCTTTTCAGCGGTCAGCTGCTACATACTGCTTGGCAAAGAGATGATGTGTAGTATCGAAACCTCTTCTGAAACCCGCTTGGCCTCGGTGCCTAAGTGAGAGCGTCTCCCCTGTGCGAACGAGCCTATCCAGGAGGACCAGCGCGTAACATTTCGCCAAGGCGCCCCCTACTGCCATGCCCCGGTAGTTACTCGGCATGCTGGGGTCCCCCTTCTTGTAAATAGGGGTGAGGACGGTACTTGTAAACTGCCGTGGGAAGTCCCCAGTCGCCCTGATATGTTCCAGAAGCACGTGTAGTACCGGAACAAGCTGATTCACTTCCCCTCGTCGCCTGCCCCTACTATTACCCGACGCGGAGCCTTCTTCCTCTCGGGGCAAACGCGCATAGCGGTAACATTCCGACGGCGCTACTTCCAAACCTGGTGCCTTACTGTTAGGCAGCCGGTCAACAGCACGTGCGACTTCCTCCAGCGTGAGGGGGGGTCTAGGATTTCGCAGTCCTGCCCAAAACCGAGTGGGATGAACGCCATTCCTGCCCCTCTAGGAACTCCCCAAAGTTAATGAAGTTCAAAAGCCGGTTCGCACCATCAGGCCCTGTCTCCCCTACA